ACACCAGCAACCAGTGTGAATCTGCAGGGGTAAATCGTGATGGCTAGCTGCTCTGCTGGCCTTTTGATTCCAAACACTGCATTGCCGGTAAAAATTAGGCAGTCATAGCAGACGACTTGGGGTGCCAGCTCTCAGTTTCTTGATTTTCAGCATACTGCCAAATGAGAGCCCAAAAATAGTTGTGCTACTGAATTGCACGCACTACATTGGTGGCCCAATTCTGTTGGCAGAATGCTTTATGTTGTGAAGGAATAACGATCCAGTGTACAATCTGAACAAGCAATATCCCCTGTAAGAATATATGCACTGCAAAAGTGCACGACTTCACCTTTGGTGCCAATACATCCAAGATAATCGCCCAGATATGATAACATTTAACAACAGCATATTTGGTTTCTTTGTCACTCAGTATATCATGATCCATCAGCTGGCAGCCATGAACTGCAATGTGCAAACTGGTTTGCAGAACTGTCATCGCTGGTGTCAATCCAAAAACAAGGAAGGATACTGTGTGCCAGAGTATTTTCCATGGCTCAGCATCTGAGCTGCAGGGCAATCGTCAGGGACTGAGTCCCACAATTTCATCAACTAGAAATGCCTTTTGCACGAGGTTATGCTAGCATAATATTGTTCCCAGCTCAAACACAGCTGTAAACTGGTGAAAACCAGTGAGAAATTGGGGATCACCAATGAGACAGTACAAATGGTGCCCCAATGGGTCCTTGTTGACTGCATTCTGTTTCTGCCATCAGTGAACAGCATCGCCTGACAGGGGCAAGAAATTAATGCAATGTCCATTTGTTTGGCAAGTGCAGCAAACAAGGATTTCTGATTTCTCCACATTGTTGCCATTCCTATGCACCTGGAGAGTTCTGCATTGGCTTTCTCAATATGCACTGAATGAATGCATCCATCACAGCAACGTGAACAATGGCAGAGTGGTCATTGCACATATCTCTGCAAAGTTCAGATCAAGGACATCCTATGTTTCCCAGCAGACTACAAGGTCGTGACAATGCTTGGCAAAAAGAATTCTGCAGTGCAGCAATGCCTCACATGCATTTGTGTTTGCCCAGGAGGGGGGGCCAATAATGGCATGTTTCCATCTTACACATGCAGTTGACGTGTGTAAGATTACACATCCATGTGACGAATTCCTTTCTTTGAAAGAAAGTGCTGTGGTCGGTGTTCTCAAGCAGATGGATGGCAGATGTGCACATCAGCTATGAGGCCATGCTGGACAGAAATTAATGCTCACCCCTCTCCTATGGGCTGGCGCTGCGCCAGTGGCGAGCCATCGAGTCTCAGCTTGCAGCCCCTAACACAATGCAGCCAAGCCCTTCAACCCTCATCCTCATGAAGCATCACGAAGGGAACAGAAAGCTGCAGTTTGTGTATCTATGGCCCTGCATTAACTTTCGCGTGTGAGCTGGGCAACTTGGAATGAAACTTGGAGAAAGCCATGCGTGGCTGGCCCATATTTCTTCCATGTTGTGGCGATGTCGACGAAACGGAATTTCGGTCAGTCATGGATCCCCATGAGGCTCTGTCTTTCGCCACGGGAGGAGGCCAATGCCTTCCCCGTCCCCCGCTCCATTGCCCAGAAGCCACTCACGTCTGCCCATCCGCCTCGGAACGCTCCGCATTGAGCCCTTGATTCCATCAGCAGGGCATTGGCGGCGTGGCGCACAAGGCTCGCTGCCCGGCGCATAGCGTAGCAGGTGGAAGCGAACGCCAGAAAGTTGGGCAGGGGCCCAGGCAGCGCAACGCCAAACCCTCCGCAGCAGGACTAGAGTGAATATCCGCAATGGGGATTATGGCCGCAGGGGTTACTTTGTGTCGGTGTTTGAGAGTTGCTCTGTGGGGTTGAGTTATGATGTGTCACGGTGTTACGAGACTTGGCAGTATGTGTACTGATGACGAAGTTTCGGGACGGAGTCGTCACAGAGGCTCAAGCATAAATTCTCCAGCCCATTCAGGCGGCACATTTCGTTTCTTTTGGGATTGGAGGCACAAAACAACGAATGAGTCTGATCACGGCGCGACCTTAAGTGGAAGGGGCTCCAACACTGTAATCGGACGCCCACAATTGAAGGGTGGAAAATGCATGCATCACCCCTCACACACGGCAGACCCTTGTAGAAGAAAGCCAAGTGTTCAGTTTAATCCCAAGAGGAAGGTGCCATTGAAGCAAGATAGGAAGACGTTAAAAGGTGACAAAGGTACTATCGAAATGATTCAGAAGCCAAGTCGAGCCATTTTAGACCCGACTAACTTTTTATTTTCTTTGTAAAACAGCGATTTACCTGAAGCAATGGGCTGGAAACTTTCGTGGTGGCCCTCGCTTATGTAACAACATCCATTTTCGACCTTAAATGGCACATAACAACAGACCATAGATGTGCAATTCATTCACACAAAGCAATGCACCACTGACCTTTACACCAAAACCAACCACGGCGCTGCTACTTACATGCAAGTCATCACCACAACTTTACGCCACTGCTCGGGGAGATATGCTTACCAAAGGCGAGGTGGACATTGTGTTGTGGGTGCTGGAGATGGTGCACTACTAATCATTGTACGCAACTTTCATCGTATAACCTGTGTGTCCCAGACTCTGGGACCCAGGGAGCCGTAAAAACGTACAAATAGCCGTAACAATAGGCCCTTTTGCAAATTTACGTTTTACGGGTAAAAACGTAAAAGCAAAAACGCAAGCGTAAACGTAAAAACCAAGCCTGCCTTTATCTGTGCAAGAGCATCTATCTTGCAGGTTTGGAATGCCGTGCATACTTACACCAACCATGCAACGCCTTAGGTAGAAGCAATCACACCCAACTGTTGAAAACAACAATTTTGGCAGCACCATTCAGCACACTGGAAGAGACGATCGCCCAAATTATGATAGTAATGATGCCGTTGTGTTAAAAGTGTGCTGTAGTGCCTATTCGTTGTCAACAGCAAGGTTCTCAATGGATATGGCGAATTGGGTGGGGACGTACCAGAATATGGCCAACGCAACAATGCGGGGAATTGAGGGCCTGCATGGAATTGTACATAGGATTTTTAATAAGGTCGTAAATGTCATGCAATATGGCGATGGCTAAATAGTAAAGATCTACATCCACCTAATCAAGCAAGGGATCCAAATATGGTGGCAGATTGATTGATTGAGTTGATCTTGCCAAATTTTTGGCAAGATTTGAGATCGGGCACGACTTTCGAGATGGAGGCAGTACAATGTTTTGCATTTCGCTGCCTTCAGCATCGCTTTCTCCCCTGTTTTTTCGCTGTGCGCCCCATATGACCACTGCCGCTGTTGAAGAATGACGTCATAACGTTGCGCGATCTGACCCCAATAAAGCGTTCACACAACTAGTGCAATAAGTACAAAACTTAGAAACTGCGTCGAATGGGGTACTATTCTTTGGAAAGGTTACCTATCCTGAATACGGAAATTTCACAAGGTGGATAGGAAACTCCTATTCAACGGGTGGGGGAGCCCCCACATTCAGGATATCGAATATGATATGGGCACCATATCAAGAGATAGTACCACATCCTGGCTATGTATGTCCAGGACATGCAAAATTTTTCCGACTTTCCACTGGCTGCTACAGAAATCGTGGAAAATTACTGTGTATATACAGGCATTAGTGCCTACACCTCTCTCTGGGGGCCCAAGCCATGGGAGTATCCATGACCTGGTGTTGATATCCACTTTAAGATTCCCTTGGGAAGTATCTGGATTTGCCTGAAGATAGGAAGCTAGTTGCACCACTGGTTGCAGAGCGCCTCCTGCTGCATGAATTTTTCACCCTTCAATGCCGGACATTTATTGTGAAGAACACTAGGAAAAAAGGGGCAAATAACAGTGTTCAAGCGTGTGCAAAATTTACGGGTTTGGGTTATTTCTGTTGTTTTACCATGCAGAACACTGATGAAATGCACAGATATATGTGTTGGCAAAACGTGTTATCTGGTCCTTTTTTTGCTAGTGGAACTGGCCCTGAAGTGACGCCGTGATGCATACTTAATGCTGCACGCCTGGCAGTTTGCCCTATTTCGATCGATGGGAAAGGAGGCCGTTCGACCGTCAACAAACCCCAGGCCAGTTGATTGTGCGTGAGGGGCAGGTAGAGACTTTGGTTTCGTGCGGATCGAATGCGGAGCTGGCAGCTCAAAAGAAACAAAAGCCATCTTCAGAAAGGGGGAAGGGAGTGTGAGACGCAGCGAGCAGCTCTGGGGACTCACTTTGCTTGGTGTCATGGGGAATGGGAGTCGAGAGGCGAAGAACCGCAGCTGCCCATGGGGAAGATCATCTTTTGGCCGTCGTTATCTCCCCGTTGTGCAGCAACGGCCATGCAGGACTCCCACCTGTTGCTGTTGTGAACGCCAGCTTGTGTTGCTGTGCAACAAAATTTCCGCTATATGAACCCCATTTTCGCATTTATGAACCCCATTTTCGCACTTTATGGGCTTCAAATTTACAATTTTCTGTGTCCACTCCGTGGATCAACAATCCATATTGGTATCCATGACCCAGCGTTACTATCAATCGCATGTTTTCGCTTCGTTTGGGGGTCCTGTAAATGGAAGCCAGTACTGGGCAAGCATGGAAAACTCACCGACCTCAAGTAAGTTGCAAGTGAACCGTTGTGAAATAACGAATGCAAACACAAGTAAGCCGTGTGCAACTTTTTAGCATAAAACTGCAACTTTGCGAATGCCACAGGGAACGCAAGTGCGAACAGCAAATTGACTTGAAAGACAGCCAACAATATGCCAAACGCGCTTTCAGTTTCTAGACCACTCATGGGAAGTCTCATGTGATGGACTGAATTACGTTTAATGAAGTTCATTTCCTGGATGTCGTTCTTCAGGGCCAACGGCGCTACTGCGCGACCCCCACTGTAATACTTAGCACACACACGGAACGACGGCTCTGTCGCGTTCCAGTCCTCCATCCAGCCCTGGAGGCGGCGACCTGTCCTGGAATGCTCTTCTCGCTGTCGGGCCATCGCGTGGCGAGCGACTGCCGGTGGTCGAGGTTCCCGAGTTCCAAAGGCGGTCCCCGATTCAACAGGACGTTGATCGGTCCCCGGAAGCCGTTCTCTGCATGTGGGTGGAGTTGGAGCGTTGCGCGCTTGCGAGTGCAGCCGAGCCCATTTGAGCAGCGGCACTGTTTCGCTCAACATGGCAGGTTTCTGAGGAACCTGGATGGTGCGATAGTCCAGTAGAACGCAGCAATTTGGGTCTGGAAGAATGAAGGGCGGATGTCCCTTTGCCGAAAGGGACAAACCTGCACGCGCGCTGGCTGTGGCCGTTCCTTGTCTCGGGGGACAGAATCTGGGGCGGCAATGTATCTGGCGTGCTGATGTATGCTTTGCATCGTGTGCGCCCCCGCTCTCCAGGCCCGATGGCCGCCATCGAAGAGCGTCAGGCTGTCGTGATCGATGGCAAGGCGTGCGCGAAGGAGATACGGGAAGAGATCGCCGCGAAGGTTGAGGCAATGAAGTCCGAGATGGGCAAGGTGGGGCTCAGTCTTGGGCTCAGGGGTGCATTATGGAATTGCGAACAGCGCCTTGCACGTCATGCACTAATGAGTGTTTGGGGTCATTGCACGTGTGGGAGAGTTCTGGGTAGCGGACGGTATGGTGTGGCGGCCTGACCTGACCGTTTGTTGCCCGCTGGAACAGTAGAAGAAGCAATGAAAAGGTCTGGTGTGCATCCGATGTTTACGCATCCCTTTCTTGTGGTAATCCTTTGGTTCTTTGCTGCACACCCTGGCTTTGCTGCCCTGCTCCTGAAGTCAGTTTGCTGTTCAAGAAAAAGGCGTATCCATTGACCACTGGCAAGGCACTGCGCTTGCACATTCATGTCGATGGCTTGCACAATTCTATTCGCACTATTGGTTCACAACGGTTTGCTGCTGCCCACTGCCTTTCCATTTCTACTGAGCACAGCACCACACCTGCAGTCGCAATTCACAGAGGACCCATGTTCCCCATTCCCATGTCTGCATTTAAAGCCAGTCCATGGACTGCAGGTTGCCTGTGGCCGCATTCCACCTTTGGGCCCAGCTGTCTCTGTGCCCATCATTTGCTGATGCTTGGTTTATGTACGACAGGTTCCAGGATTGGCAGTTGTGCTAGTGGGTACGCGCAAAGACTCTGAGACATATGTCCGCAACAAAGAGAGGGCGTGTACAGAAGCAGGGATAGAGTCTTTTTCTTCCAGGCTGCCTGAGGACATTAGTCAGGAGGAGCTCTTGAAGGTATCAAGACAATGCTTCCTGATGCATGTGGCAGTTTAAAGAATTCCACCACAACACCCCACATATCGTTGTGCGCAAGGCGAAAGCCTGGCACTAGATTTGGCAGTGAAGGGCGTGTAAGACGACCAAAATGTTGGCTCTAAGCAGGTTGTTTCCCACTTCAGTGGTGGTGGCGTGCTTGTGTGCTTGTGGTCAGAAGCATGTGCTGCTTGCACCACTGTCAGGCTGTGTCTGGAGGGAGGAAATGCCTGGAGAGTGGAAGAAGAAATAAGCAGATGGAGGGAAAAGCAGATGGTGACGTGGCACATGTCCAAATTCTTCTTCCTGTGGGTGTGGAGGGCCCATTCTCGCAAGCTTAGGCTCAGCTATTTTCTGTATTTGTACATGTTGGTATTTTGTGTATGAATTGTACCTTATGTCCCCATTTTGTATATTGTACAGCATATTTTGCACGTTGACCATAGGTCTGCATAGGTCAGCATAGCACAGGTCAGTGCCAGCATAGCTCTGCTCACCTTTTGCACTGATGAGAAGCACGTCAACCACTCGCCTACGTGCAGCCGCAGGATCTCTGCTGTGAGTTTTCGCGATGAGTGTGCCACATGAACAGCACAGGGCTTGCAACCAGCGAAACGAAAATGTTCCTCTGGGTCTAGATTGTGGCACACCATTGTGATCCATTTGCCTTCAACCATTGGGTTGTACAGTGAATTTCTGTTCTCTTTTCTTTATCCACTACTGCACTGCTGTGGCCTGGCACTTGGACTCGACCCTGGGGTACCTTTTCTCAAGTGGGGCCTTGTGTCGCTCAGAAGGATCTTACACGTACGCCTTGGGTTAGCACCACATGATTGGTTGACTGTATTCTGGCCTGCAAAGTGTCAAGACATTGTGGCCATGCCACTTGCTGCCATTGACTAACGACACTGAGGCAACATTAGTTCCAATGGTCTACAACCTCATGAGAGCGTTCCAGACACCGCATTATGTCCCCACACACTTCCCCATGTCAGTCGAATCTGGTGGAGTCCCTGACTGCATGTCGTGTGTTTCAGTAAGGTGGTCGAAGACTACAATTCCAACGACCAGGTTCATGGCATCCTCGTGCAACTGCCGTTGCCGAAGCACATTAATGCTGAGCTGATTCTGGATGCGATCAGCTATGAGAAGGACGTGGATGGGTTCCATCCAATGAACATCGCAAGACTTGCTCTCAAAGGACGCTCACCACTTGCTGTGGCGTGCACACCACAGGCGAGTTGTGGCCATGAGTGAGCAGGCTGGGCTGCAGGTTTTGGTGCATAGGCCTGTCTTTCTGCTGGCATCCACATCATATAGCTTTTCTGGCTTTTGGGTTTATGGTACATCAATCTCTTTACAACAGAGCAAGTAATTGAATGCATCTGTGGACATGGGACGTCCCCCGTCCCCCATCTGTGGAGCTGCTACTGTGCTCGTAAGCTCATTCTGTGTTTTCTGGTTTTTTCCCTGACTTTCTAGATCGCAATACCAAGTAGTGAGCCACTGCTCTTGCAGTTGTTAGGCGAAGTGTGTGCTGTTGACATCCTTGCTTGTTGCCTGCCAATGTGCTGTCTTCCCATTGCAACAAGGGAGCAAAGTGCGCAAGCAAGCAAACAACATTGAAATGTTTCATTAAGCATGGGGTTAAACAGGTGTAGATCGCAACACCAAGTAGTGAGCCAGTGCTCTTGCAGTTATTAGGCGATGTGTGTGCTGTTGTCATATTTGCTTGTTGCTTCCTAATGTGCTGCCTTCCCATTGCAACAAGGGAGTAAAGGGTACAAGCAAGCAAACAACATGGACAATAACATATGAGAGCAAGTGGAGCAGCAGCAATGATTCAATTTGTGCAGCACGGGATGAATCAGAATTGCTGCATGGCATAGCCGAGTGATTAATGCACCTTCCTTTCAAAACGGAATGGAATGTTCATCCAATGCCATCATATTGTGGCAGTTCATTGGTATTTCCTGGTGCAGGAATCACAAGGAATGCATTGCTTACTCCCCTACTGCCATATGCATGCCCATTAAACATCGTTGACATTTGTAGGCCTCTGTCTTCCAGAGATGGGGTCTTTATCTGCAAACCTTGTATTGTGCACATTTGAAGGCTCACCTGCAAATTGTTTGTAAGATGGAGACCATCACTTAACTTCTGTTCCCCTTTCCCTATGAGCAGCATTGGCTAGCACGGCCATGTCAGCCCACTCATCTGCAGCCTTGTCAAAATCATGACAACAGAAATGTCTGTGGGGGGGGGCATTGAATGGAAGTTGTGCAACTCGCCTGTTGTCAACGTCAATGCCAGCTTGTGTCACCCTGCAAGGGTTGGATCAACACCATGTTGCTCATGGGAGTGTTCTTCCCACAAGGTTTGAATGGCAGGTTCTCAACGATCGAGCCATAGTGTGGTGCCGACTGCTGCTCGGTGCCCTACAGTGCCTGCAGCCGCCATTGGGCCCCTTTCGTCCCAAAGCATGTGTTGCAGGGGACCCAAATGTAAATGTTCACCTTACATACTTGCCCTTCTCTTGGTGACAGGGCTGTTTGGAGCTCTTGGATCGCCATGGTGTCACGATTGCGGGCAAGCGCGCAGTTGTCTTTGGCCGAAGCAACATAGTGGGCATGCCAGTGTCCCTGTTGCTCCAGCAGCGGGATGCCACTGTCACAGTAGTGCACTCCAGGACACCCAACCCAAAAGAGATTTGCCTGGAGGCCGACATTGTCATTGCTGCTTGTGGCCAAGCAGAGATGATCCAAGGGGATTGGCTGAAGGAAGGGGCTGTGGTGCTGGACGTGGGGACGAATGCTGTTGATGTAAGCTTGTGGTGGGGCACTTTGCATTTTCTTCTCCTTCCTGATGGACCAAAAGACATCATAACCAGTTTGATGTTTTGACAAACCTAAACAGTAGTCACTCGTTGGTAGGTAACACCAGACGATGTCCTGTGGAAGGTGCCACAGGTGGTATCGAATTTCCCCTGGATTTTTTTTGGCATTTTGTATGGCATTCTCAAACAGCCGCATCACTGACGTGCTGCTCAAGTTGGAAATAGATTTGTTGCAATTGGGTGCACTCATTGATCAGGATGCAGGCTTGACGGCCCTCTGGAACCCCCTGAATATTCTGCCAAAATGGCACCTCGTTTGGGGATCACTACTTCACCATTTTGTAGGTACCTTTGCTGGCTCTATAGATCCACTCTTTTTGGACTAACTGTGTTTGCTGCGCTGGGGTGCCCCGATCTTGCCTAAGTGAATGGCCGAAATGGCGAGAAGCAATCAGTTGGGGTGTTGTGTGGCATGTGGGGTACCATATGTGTTATGATACTTTGGGAAATGTCCTATTCTGCAGTCTGGAGCAGAGTCCCTACAAGAACTGCTGCTGAGATGGAGGAATGCCAGCGGCACACTCCATTGTGTTGAGGGCCCATCGTCAATGTGGTGCCAGTAACAGTGTTGACCGTCACTTATTGTGGTATGTTGTGGCATCAGGATCCAACAGCCAAGCGCGGGTACCGGCTGGTGGGAGACGTCAAATTTTCAGAAGCGGTGCAGCGAGCAGGCATGATCACACCTGTGCCAGGTGGTGTTGGTCCAATGACCATCGCAATGCTGCTGAAGAACACATTGCAAAGTGCCCAGAGGAGCCTCATGGGCGATGCGATATAGGCCATGCCGCTGCTCTCCAGCAGAAGGGATCCCTTTGTTGCTTGTCAGGATATTGAAGACAGAGTTGAATGGCCAGTAATGGTACAAGCACGACAGCCACCTGGTGTCCTTGTAAAGAGGGATGTGCAGATAAGTGTCAGTGTTGATACTGGTCAACGCATCTACAACAGGTTTACAAACGTTTTTGCTTAGTACAAACGTTAATCAGGTAAATGTGGCCAGGGCCACGAACCCCATACCTAAAAGTCAAGACTATTCTTCTATCTCCTCACAGCAGACGGTGCACGAATGATCCGCAAGTGTTTCCTCAAGTCCTGTAGTTGCTCCTGGGCAGCAGACAAGCAGGTTCTCAGTCTGTGCAACATTCAATGGAGCCATGAGTTGACAAGCAAGGTAGGAACCGTTTCTGGACTGAAAACAACACCAATACCCTTCAGATCTATCACAAGCACTCAGCTAGTTGCTGCTGTTTTCAATCTACAAGTGGCCTTCTTCCTGCAGTTGGGGACAGACAAGATCCTGTCTGAAAACAAACGCACCCCATAGTGTCTCTCATAGTGGATGCACATAAGGTCACGTGATCTCAAACCAGCCCTCACTGCCCAAGGAATGTGCTGGAACATGAGCTGGTCTCTGATGTCTTTTGGGAGTTTCCACTGTGCCCCCGCAACTGCCAGTGCAGTCATCGGCAATCCTGTCTGCAGCATGCAGTACGTCAGTGCTGTGAATGGAGAAATCAAGAGAATGCAGTCTGAGTGGAAAAAGGTGTCACAACCTGCATACAGGAAGCACTCCTGAGCCACTGACCGGTGGAAAGACACTGCAATTCGGGCAGCCACTCTGCCACAGCACCCCCCCATGCGCTGTTTGAGCTGCTGAGAACAACCCTGAAATTTTCTTGCCGTGTTTTGGTTCCAAAACCATGCGCTGCATGCCAACCATGCCGGGAATGCCCCGGTGAGCTGTTGCATTACTATGCATATTCGGAATTGAACAACACAGCAGCTGACATGTGTCGACTCATAGATGTGCCAGTGCATCGCACTGAGCAACTGGTTGGATGGAAATGTCACAGCCCGTCGCGCCACCAGCGATGGCGTTACTTCATACTGCAGCTTCAGCCAGAGGACTTTAGCCATTCTCTACCGTAGCCCAAAAGGTAATCAAAATGTCGCCACAAGCCATTGGGCACAAAGCCGCACAAGCCAAACGTATTGCAGAACCACATGCAACATTGGCTTCCACAACACTGTCTGCAGAGATCGACATCACGAAGGTGGTGACAAATTCTACGGAGTTCAGTCACTGATACCACCACAGTTTTCTTGCCATGCAACAAGTCATGGCATAACATTGCCATGGCATGACACTGTCATGGCATGACATTGCCATGGCCGCCATGAGGATGTGTCAGACGTCAGTCAAACCTTTGCCCTTCTCACCTGCACAAATTCCAGTGCTTTCAATGCTAGTTCTCCACTCACAGTCGTGGGACACCCGAACAAGACGTGCCAGAAATCATGGACTTCCCTGTACCTTGCCGCCACATAAGCAAGCTCTTCGTCATCCACAAACCGTACTGGCGGCCGCTCGTCTGCTTGGAAGCCTCTCAAATCCATGAAATCTGCATAGGCCCTCCCAAAGGAGCCGTCGGGCATATCCCAGCAAGGTGCGACTGACTCGTTCTGAAGAGAAACAGGGTGTAACACACAAGGCGATTCAACAGCAGCATCTGTGGTCTGATGCACCGAGTTGCATGCTGATGTGAATGGAGCGCAGTCCATGTGGAAAGGTCTTGCTACATCTGTTGGTTGATTGCAGACCCAGAAAATCATTGTCACAGTGCCTATATTGCAGCAAACAAATACCACTTCGCGTTGCCTGTAAGCAAAGGTTGTGAGGACAGTTCTTCTCACACTTTGTGGCAGCAGCACAGAGGAATGCAAAACAGGAATGGCTCCACATCCTCAGTTGACCTTAGGTCAACGCGTTGAAGGAAGCAATCTATGAGTCCTTTTTCTGCAATTTCTTTAAATTAAAAGAATGCCAGAATGGCATGGAGCTTTGGACACAGGGAAATTGTGAACCTTGATGATTCAGTCCAGTTGGGAACAGGCCGTTTGCAAGCACAGTATAGTGCCAGTTCCTGCACTGCAACATTGCTAGGGTTCAGTGGCCCTGACCATTGCACTCGTCAATAAGGCCAGTGTAGCCCTTTGAGCAACAATAGCCAGTTTTCCAACTTCTGAGTATCCAGCTTTATCCAGGACTTGAATGTAGCGAAATCGACCCCTGTGTGCTCAGCACCAGACATTGAACTATATCGATTCACACCCCAAAAGGCAGACATTGCATGGGTCCAATCGCATAACCAATTCGACAATCAACACATCCGTTGACTCCAAGCGTTGCCTGAGTGATTTATCGCCAGTTCGGACAAAACCGGCCTCAAATGTCAATATCACAGACTGTGCATGCATCGCTCTTTTATCACCGTTATTCGTGGCCTTTGGTCGAGGATGGTTCGCCCGGTTGGGTCCTGCCTCATTCTGTCCCTCATGCTATGGAGAGTGCCAAAGCCTGTTGTCTCCCCAAAAGCTGCCACAAGATCTGCCCGCGCAGGCCTGACAATATGGAAGCCAGACCTTAAACTTCGGCAATTGGGAGTGGGTGTGCTGCAGGTTCTTGTGAAAGATTGTGTCTATTTCCCTCCTGTCGGGGACGACGAGGGAACCCGTTTGGCGAACCCATGCGGGACAATTTGCTCGAGCGACTTTGGCCGCGTGGCAAGAGACAAGGCTGGCGGCTCCAGAAAGTGCAAGAAAACCATGCCACATGTTTTGGGAGACTGATCTGATGATGGCAGCGAATGTGGCGATGGCTGGAATGACATGCTCATGAAGTTGCCAACAAGAATGCACACACCCCCCTGCGAATGCGGAAAGCAAGATCACTCATTGTTGCTGAAAAGGGACTGTGATTGGAATGTTGATTGCATCATTGACCTCAAGTTTGGGCATCAGGACAAGGATGGAGCACATGGTACTGCCAATAGGAAAAGTGGACAAATGCCTTCCCAATCAGTATTTCGCCTGTCGCTCTGCGATCACTGGTCACTAATAATAACTAAAGACCCACCTGGGGAATGGAGGTCCAGACAATCGGACGCCACACAAGCTAACAAGCCATGGTGACTGTGGCAGCTGCTGGGAGATTGAGAAGCATGCGCTATCCCTCACAAGCGCAGGATCTTTGACGCCTGCTAGCGCACGCCCCACCCCACCCATCCACCAATGGGGCCGGCCTCGACCCGGACCCACATGCGGCCGACGCCAACGGTGCTCCCCCCGTGCATGCGGGGCAAGGGACTGCAATAACGATGGCAGCCTCCCTCACAAAACACGTCATACGATGGACACCCCCCTCCTGAGCAACAATTTTGGCGCATCTCTACTCCATGCAGCCAAAGATGACGCAGGTGCTGCGGCGAACGGGCAGGCGGATTACCTCACAAGGGCTCCGACACCCGACAGCAGCGCCACCGCGGCCTTCTGCAAGGTCGAGAGCGGAACGTGGGTGGGGTACAGCGGGGAAGCCATTGCGCTTGTGCCCTGCGTGTCGCCGCTGGGGGTCGCGACAACGGAAGGCCTACCTAATGGCCAGGCTGCTAGCTGTTCGTGTGCTTGGTAGATGTTCAAAGCTTCTATACTTGCCAACGCAGTCGGCCGGACGCTGTGTGTGAGTGGAAGATGTGCGACGATTCTATTTTTTTTTCTAGAAAGGGCACTTCGATTTTGCCGAACATTTGGCGCATGTAGCATTCCGGGGGCACAGGGAATGTGTGAGGCGAGTGCTCTCCGCTCCATTTTGCCACCAAAACGCAGCGGTGCAGACGTCCGTGCGGGCTGCTGGTGTCCAAACCTCAGCTTTTGTTCTTGCTGCACGAGACGCCGCGCTCGTCATGCTGGAAAACGAATCGTGCTGGAAGTACCTGGATCCTGTGTCAAGCTGGGAACAGACCTTGCAGAGAAGTGGCATGAGAGTTAGCTCCATCATCGGGGCCCACCGCAGCCGACTTGGAAAGACGAGGCCTAAGGGGGCGCTGGGAAAAAAATACCGACAAGGGACAGCGGGGAGGCTCGAAAAACACAAAAGCAAAGCCGCTGCATTGAAGAGGTTGGAAGAGTGGGCGCAGGAGCGATTCGGAACCTCCAAAACCCCACACGCTCCTCCGGGTTCGCCGTCCGGGCGACATGTAGTACATAGTGGACTGACGCGGGTATCATTCACTCCCACAGCCCCTCCCTCATTCGGTCTCGCCCGCGCCCTTACTGTGCTCGGGCGTCTGAGTCATTCGAGTGGGGGGCAGGACATCCGGCGATCCGCATGGGGAGGCCGGCGGGGGGCCTGGGGATCGACCCGAAGGGCAGCACTTCGTCAGGATCACGAGCGACAGGACGGTGGGGCGGCAGCCCGGGGCGCCCTTTGAGCCCGGTTGATGACTTTTCTGCGTCAATGGGCGCCACGTTCGAGAGGCGCTGAGCCGGCAACAAGGTAGCTGCGCCCCGGCACTCCGCGCTGGTGGCCCAATCGGGGCGGTGTCCGCAACTCCGCGCTTGTGATTGGCCAAGATGGGCTGCCGCGCTCGTGCGGACGCCCCAGGTGCTTCACCAGCGCGCAAATCTGCGCATCGCGGTGCGATTGGAGGTGTGGCAGTCGGCCGGGATTGGCCGATGAGCCAGCTGGCGGGTGGCCGTGGACGCTCGCCGGCGCATCGGATTGCCCGTCGCAAGATTGGGATCGTCCGGAGGAGGGTTGGGACTTGTTGGTTGGCAGGGGCCGGCGTGTGCGAACGGCCCTGCGGAGCGCGGCCCGCGTGGCCTCCGGCAGCCCAATGTCTGTGGCGGCCCTTGGAAGCCCTAGGGGGCTGCTTCCGTGCCGAAACAGCCCTTCTCGAGCTCGAGAGCGGAGCTGGCGCCGCGGATGGGCGAGTGCCAGCGCGGCATCCCTGGGCGGTGAATGTCCGCTGCGCCGGTGGCTTAGAGCGCGGTGGTCGCAGCGGTCGGGACGCGCGCGGATATCTGGTTTGGGCCCTGCGGCCTTCGAGCTTTGAGATTTGTGCCTGTGTTGGGCGGGAGACGTGGCCGGGGCGAGGGAGAGTGGACGCTCACCCGCGGGGGGTCGGATAGTGCCTGAGGGCTCCGATGCCACTTCCTTGTGCAGGCGTGAGGCTCCCGCTGAGGGCACTACGACGAGACACGACGGAACAGGGGAACTGCAGCCGAAGGGTGAGATTCGCTGGAGGCGCCGATCGGGCTGCTTGACGGCGCGTCCCGCCCCGCCAGAAAGTGGCCTTGCTGTTGTCGCGCCTTGTTGCGCCAACAGCCTTCGAAGTGCTCCGGATTGATGGCGCATCACCACGTATGGCACTCCGCCCTTGCCCCACCCGGAAGGCGAGACGCGCAATCGCGACTGTGGCCCCAGCGTCGCAGAATTTGCTATCCGGAAGCGCGCCTAGCTGTCTGCAGTCGCGCTTGCTGGATTCTGCGCCCTGGTGGCACGGGCGGTGCATGCCACTCACCGCGCTGTTCTGAAGGGAGGGTGCCGCAGGTGCTCCTGAAGAGGCGTCCCTGAAGGTCGCGCCCGGCAGGCCGCCACTTCCAAACAATCCCGAGACAAGCCAGGTGGCAGAACCTGCGGCTTCGCCCGATTCACCCACCCGTCCGGGCAGCCTGCACGCCCTCCCGGGCTCCCAGTTCCCCCTGCCCGAGAGCCTGCGGGAGAAGTACTCCAACTCCCACCGGTGGCAGACCCACCGGTGGAGGGACAAGCTGGGCCAGTCTCCGGGGGCCACTAGCTCCCACACAGCGCTGGACCCCCAAAAGGAGAAGTCCAGGGGGGTGGGGTGGAGGGCGGGCAGCAGGAATGGGGACACGAGGCCTGCCAGCGAGCTGGCGCGAGCCCGCCTCGCTGCTGCGGCGGAGAGGAGCGCCGCTGGGCGGCAGGCAGACAGGGCGAGGAGGGCGGAGGCTGCAAATTCCCATCACTGCCCAAGGCCTGGGGTGGGTTCAGAAACCGCCGGCTTGCCGCCCTCCGGAGGCAGGGCAGCCAAGGATGGTGAGGGGAGCCGGCGTGGGGTTGCCTCTGTGAGGAGCAGGGGCCAGGTCCCCCCTACGATGCCTGACCTGGCCAGCTCTCCTTTCGATGACCACACGCCGGCGGAGGTGGAGGGCTGGCGGGGTTGGCTGGACAGCGGCATGAGCGAGTCCTCCAGCACATGTGGAAACCAGCATAGGCAGGATGGGCTGCAGGTGGCACTCAGGTCGCGCTCAGCCTCTCAAGCCACCTCGGAATCTTCTGTGGGCAGTGAGGAGTCGACCAAGATCAGTCCCAATGGCGAAACCTCCTTGGCTTCAGGTGGGGGGATGTCCAGGTGCCAATAAACACACACGTTAATCGCATCCAGCACCACAGCCCGACAAGGTGTATTGGGGTTTGAGGCGAGCTGCTTGGCAACCTAAGCAGGGATTGCCCAAACCTGGCAGTCCAGACCCACAGGAGGAAACTTTGGAGGTCCCCTGTCAAACCGATGATGTGAAAAGCCCCTGGTGACCGGGTGTGCAGATGAAATTATTGGCGATAAAATAGTAGTCTCCTCCCCGTGTTTTCAGTTTCTTGGACTGCATTTGTTGACATCGACGGTTCCATACAGGCACCTGTGTTGCGAGGAAGTACTCCTTATGGTGTCATCATCAGTTCTCAAAACGATTGTTGGATGGGGATGCTGACAGTATTGATGCAAACAATATGGTGCACCGCTGCAATGCAGATTTAGGGAAGTTGGCTTCACCTTTATATGGGGAATGCTCTTGAAGGGTTTTCAGTAAATTGCCAGACTGTGTGCTGAACTGCTGTGCATACTGTTTTTGTTGTGTTGAAGTGTGCCAATTTTTTTTCTGTCCTTTTGGGAAAAGGGAGGGGCCCTCTATGTCTGTAACGCACCAACAATTCAGATTGCAGTGTCTACAAGCAGTGATTGGGGTGTTGTATTGAATATTCTCTGCTGGCCTGGTTGTGTTCATAGCAGCTCCTACCGTTTCGGCTTGACAGTTTGTGGGATGTGCAGATGGTCTTTCATCCAGTGCCACCCCTTTGCCAGAATTCGAGAAAGTTGACCAGTTTGGGTTTCTCAAGAAAAACGACGGGTCCCCGAGTATGCCAGTGGTGCGGAACGTCTCGCAGGAGTGCAACCGGTTGAAGAAGTGGAGGCGAATGGTTGGGGCGGGAGGAGTGGACTGGAAGGTGTACATTCAGAAGAACCCAAAGACAGTGAAGAATCGAATAAGGAAGGGAATTCCAGATGCCCTGAGGGGCCTCACCTGGCAGTTGCTCTCAGGTGGGGGCCTCTGTTGTGGGCTGGGATGTGTGCTTCATTATTGTTGCTCTTGGAAGTAACTCTAACAACTGAATGTCATGTACTTGGCACATGGAAAGACAAGTCATCATGTGCTTGCCCAAGTAAAAGCCCTTTGTGGGGCCAATATCCCTTGGAATCATGTGTACATTTTGCAAACAGTGCTATCTATTATGATGGTCTTGTGTCAGTCAACGGTCACTGGCCCCACTTGCTGCTATTGGAAAGAGATGTAAAAGCTGCAAGGGTTTTGACTTCCCACATTTGCAATCTAAAACTGTTCGTGTACTAAATGTAGCAAAAATGCATGCAGATTCACTGTTCATTGTGTGTTTGTATCTTTGCTGCTGTAGCAAGTACCTGGGATAACGGTGTTTTGGCGCAGGTGGCAGGAGTCTGTTGTTGGCCAATGAGGGTGTTTATCATCAACTGATGTTGTACGAATCCAGCATGGAGCAGATAGAGCTGGAGATCGTGCGCGATTTGAATCGCACGTATCCGGGGCATGTTTACTTTCAGCAAAGGCAGGGCCCTGGTCAGAGGTCATTGTTCAATGTCCTGAAGGCATATTCTGTGTACGATAAGAAGGTGAGGGCCATCTGCTGTGCCTAGGGTGGAGGTGGGGGCCAGATCCGTGGTGCCAGGCAATTGCATACTTGCCACAATCAACAGAAGTTAAGATAGACCACTGCTAACCAGTGGCAAACAAGTTGTGACTTGGTGTTCAAAAATCGTCCTTGACTGATCCATGGAGGGCCCCAAATGCTTCAGTCGACAACCATCACTTCCCCCATCGCCTGTCATCGCTCCATACAACCCATTTTTCAACCCCCATCATTGCAGTGCTGGCCTTTTGCCTGCCTGGAAGACTTCTCACCTTCTTGCGGCAGGCTGACAGGCTCTCATCTGTGCTGAATGTTACTTTGCACTATCAGATATAGCTGTTGAGTAATGCCAGCGATGACACATAAGGGTTGGCACCAAGGGAAGGGCCAGGATTGTTCCAAGCCAGAGGGGCAAGGCACGAATCCCAATTATCTCCACCTTTGAGGGGATTTAGCAGGACCCCAGGGACAGAACAAATCAGATACGAATGTGAGGGCAGCAAGCTTCAAAGCAGCACTACCATTTCAGAGTTTGGTGCCCGTTTTTAGCCATGTAGAAACCGAGAACAGCAAAGAACTGAAAGTGTGTGCCAAATGCCCAGTAACATGGGACAGAGGGGAAGGAGAATTTGGTCAAGACTTTGTCCAGAACCCTGTAACAGTGTCCAAAAGTTGAAACAAACAATACACATTGGGACAGCCCCAAAAAAGTGCATGAAGAACTTGGCTAAAGAGGGTGGGGGGTGGGGGACCAGATTTGTAACACACTGTCAGGAAAGCATGCCATGCAAGAGGGCGTCCCTCCACAGCAAGTGCGTGCGGGACTCGTGCCGTACGCTGAAGCGATGATGCAGCGTTTCCCAAGTGGATAGGCATACAATACAAGCACCACGAAGAGTTGGGGGTGGGTTGGGTGTGGGGTTGGGCAGATTTGTTGCGAAGAGGAAGAGAAGCAGGTCATACAAGGGCCACCCTGTCCTATGCAAGTGCATGCAAGACTCTTGCTCGCTGCAAGAAGATGATGCAGGGTTTCCGGTCTCCAGTGTGGAATGATGGGCACACAATGTAATCAACACAAAAGCAAGAAAACGGGCACTGAAGGGGCCTGTATAAAAAGAGTGAAAATGTACGGCATGCCAAGTCTAATGTAAGGCCACCAGCGGCCTGCCCACTGCATCCAACGCCCAGAGCACCTCCCATGCCCTCTATACAGAGCTCCCAACTAACGCCCCCAATAAAGAACATGATAAGACATGGTGCGGTCGTTGAATGCTATCTCATTTCTCCTCAGAAGAGTCGCTTTACCTATTTCTGTCAAACTACAAGGGACAGAATGGAGTGCTGTTGTGGGGAAGGCTTGAATATTGTACATTGTGTGTATGGCAAACTGTTCGTTGTTGCTGGGTTGTTAATCAGCTTGCAAGGTGTTTCGGTGCATTAGCGTGATGTTAACGTCTACTTGATCACATCATTGATAGATTCCGATGGATTTGGCAGGTTGGGTATGTGCAGGGAATGGGCTTCATCGCAGGACTGTTGCTTCTGTACATGTGTGAAGAGGATGCGTTCTGGACCTTTGTAGCCCTACTCAAGGGGCAAGTTCATCCCCCAATGGAGGGCTTGTACACAGACGGCTTCCCTCTCCTGCAGCAGTACTTCTATCAGTTCGAATACATTATCAAACAGGTAATGGCTGTATAGATGCATTGTACTTGCTGTGAGTGGACGTTCCTACAGATGGGGATGCATGTCTGTTTAGCATGGGCATGGGCTATGCTGTTTAGCCTCTGGTGCTCATTTCCTTGTTTTGCATAGCCTATGGAGGAACTGCTTGCCGCAGTTAGGTTGGAGTCTTCCCTTTGTGGTGTAAAACAGCGTCTATGCGAACCAGTTGTTGCACCACGTTTGTCACAAATATGATGCTGACATCTAGCAAGAGACAACATTGGGATGAACATCGTGCAGGCTGGAATGAGGTTGTTTGCTTCCCACAGGAATGCCCACAGATCGGTGCCCACTTCGAAAAGGAAAACGTTATGCCAATCATGTTTTGCTCCCACTGGTTCAATACCGTATTTGCCTACTCCCTCCCCTTTGAGCACCTACTTCGGCTCTGGGACGTTTTCATGTTCGAGGGCTGGAAGATAGTATTCCGGGTTGGGTTGTTGCTGCTGAAGTCGGCTGAAGACCAGCTCCTGTCGAAGTCCTTTGAGGGCATGATGGCTATTCTGAATTCCAACTCCAAGCAACTCACTGCAGAACAATTCCCTATTCTCGGAAGATCGCCAGACACTTTCATCAAGGTGACACAGTGCTCTGGCCTCAGAACATCGGATGCAACAATCCAACTGTGCACAAATTGCATGTTGATATCATGCTCGGCTCTTTCCCAGTCGTTTTCTGTGTTATCTGGTTTCATTCAACGGCAATTATCAGCATCGTCCTTGGGTGCTTGGAAAATTGTCTCCGAATGCTCACAAGACAATGACATTGCTGGGTTTCCTATGTACTTCAAAGAAATGTTGGGAATCCAGGAGAAGTACCAACAGCACTGGCTTGTTCCTTGGCATGGGTGGTGACCTGCTACTTGCTTTTGATACTTGTTGCACCCTGCATTGCTGTGTGGGGTGCATAGTCACCTGCCACTTCCGATCTTCCTTGAATTGCAGAAGGCTGAAGCTGGAGCACTAGGTTTGGGTCTCTGGTTTCTGCAGTAGTTTGCCTCTGGCTCTGCTAATGATTTCTTGTGCTCCATGGTAGGCTTGTTTGAGCATCAAAGTTTCCAAGTATCTTGAGCGGTGCAAGGCTGACTATCTCAAGCAGCAGCAGAACAAGCAACAGGAGCAGCAATAAAGTAGCAGGATGATCGAATTGATTCTTTTGCTTTGGTTCATTGGGTTGTAAATGTGGGAAGAGAGGTTCAGGGACTTTGCTTGTTGCCATCGCTGTTGGCAGGGCACTGGAGTGCCATGGCTGTGTAAGGTAGTTGAGAGATTCGCCGCGGAGTCCCCTGGCAGCCAGCCTCACTGCAAAGAGGCATCGATTGGCTGCATCGTTGCTGCTGCCAGCGCATACAAGGATTAACATGCATTTCAGAACAGCAGCAATCCCAACAGTCATCGTGCCAGCTGCTGGACGTGGACATCATCACTGCTGGCAACAGCACTGGATGGCAGCCACACATGCCAGTTTCCAAATCGTTGGTGCCCTTCTGTGGCTAGATTGGGCACCTCAAGTTTCCTGGGTTCTTGATGAAATTGTTCATGGATTGATGCACAGGGCGGGGCACTCCTGCTCAACCTGAAATGTATCTGGGTGCCATCAAGCACAATTCAAGGCTGCCATGGACCAAGGCACGACAAGAAGAGCGATGGCTTAACCGTTGAGTCTGCTGCGTGAAGATAGTAGTCATTGGTGCTGTGGACTTTGCCAAACGGTTTCGGGATCTTTCAGATGACAAAGTGCAGTTGTACCGTCCAAAAGTGGGCGGAGAATGGCTTGCTTCTGGTGCCCCTCATTGGATGTTCAAATCTCAACATGCATGTGCATTGTGGGGATATCTGCTGCGCCCATGGACACGTCCACTGCAGCCTAGTGACGGCATACCGTTGGGCGCCAAACCGTCAAGCACAGTCTCCATTCACTGTGAAGAAACTGTGGATGCAGAGAGAGACGAATCGACAGGGACTTACGGTTTGGAAAGAATGCTTTGCTTAAGGGAGCAGAGCATGGTGCAGGATGTGCAAAGCTTGGACGGGACCTCAAGGAAAGGAGATATCCATCGACTCTGCAATCTTCGATGTGTATGAGCATGTCATCGAAATTGCCCTTCATCAGCTTGCATGTGAAATTTGCTTCCCTTGCATCGCTCAAGAACTAGGCCAAAAGAATGCTCATGCACGTTCTAGAAGAGAAAGTGAATGCTGGACAGATGGATAGGCAACTGCTTTTCGAAATTATTTTCGCCTCATGAACCAACGTGTGGGTGTGTGACATCCCAACACTCAAAATTGGCGGCAGTTGCAAACTGTACCTTACTGTGCTCGTTGGCAGCGTGCAGTGGTGCTGGTGGGCACCTCTGAGCGTCCAGGCCAGCCCTTGCCTTCCCCGCGCTCTTGGGTTGGCTTGGTCCAGGAGCTCCGCAGCTGCCCCAAACTCTGGGCACACGTGTTTGGGGTACGCACAGTTTCAATTGCCGCCAAGTTCTCGACGGGGGCACAGGATGCACGAACAGGTGACAACCCCCATCTCGGGCACACCACATAATTTCCAGCCCGCACAGATACTGGTTGGTGAGTGGTAAGTCGAACACAAGGCCACCAGAAGGCGCATTGTACCTTACGATCAGCTGCATGAATCAGCCCCTGCGTCGGAAATTCACGCATATCGCGCACGTACCGCAAACCGGAGCGGAAGTTCTATGCACCCTCCCTTGGCCCCAAGTCGTGGGCCCCTTGATTGTAGGGAACGACTCCAGAGACGTACAGGCCGTGCCCACCCCATCACCCACCGCCTAACGGCCTAACCCACAGAGGTACTCTGGAATTGCGCCTGGCGAGATCCCCCCCCGCCCAACAGTACACGACACGCACACTCGGGCCGTTCACCGCCATCCAAGGGTCGGGCCCCAGCCCGGGTCGCCGGCAGTTTGGGCCCACAGCGGCGGAGGCAGCGGGCGCTGCCGAGCGCCACTGGCCCTGCCGAGCTGCGGCAGCGGACAGGGGCTCTAACGGGAGGCGGAGAAACACACACCCCGGGGCAAATTCGGCGCTCTGGGCGTGGAGGCGCAGGGGGGGGGCGTGCCCGGTGTGCGGGGCCGCAGGCTGCGGAAGACGGGGGTGAGGCGACCTTGGAGCCGGTGCGGGTGGGGCGCGTTTTGGCAAAGGGCGGGGTTGCAGTTGCGTACGGGAGTTTTGCCACGCGTCGGGAGCACCAGCGCAGGGGAAGCGCGTCTTGTGTTGCCCTTGTCGCCCACGCAAAGCCGGCTGTGCTGTCGATTCTTTCGGAGCGGGCGCCGTGGTCAGAAAATGAAACCAAGCAACGGACACGACGCGCGGGTTTGAACGGTGGTGCGGTGGCGGGCTGCGTCGGTTCGGGCGCGCTTGGCGGTGCCGCGCCGGCCAAGACGGCGTTCGCTGGGGCCCTTCTGGGTCTCCGCCCCTTGCGACCTCTTCGCATCGGCGGCATCGTTCTCGTTGCGCCGCTCCTCGCATGGGAGCGGCGCGTCGCCGCTCGAGGGGCCGTACTGCTGACTCAAGCCATGGTGGACGCGGTGGGTTGACCATCACAGTTTCCTCGCCGAGATCTGTTTGGACACGCGCAGCCGGCCCCGGCCCCGCTTGGTGCCCGCGGCGGTCGGCCATCCGCAGATCCAAGCCGCCATCATGCCATCGCGCTGCCTGCCTTCCTCGGGGGGTGGCTCCACGTCCCGCACACCAAATTTTTTGTTCGCCTCACGCGCAGCCCCAGTTTCCCGCTGCCCGTCTCGCGTCACCTTGTTTCCGCAACGCCTCCTCGGGCGATCGCGCGATTTGGCCAACGGATTGGTCGCGGCGGCCTCCCATGCCAGCATCCCAACCTCTGCGCTCCCTTTTCCAACCGACGCCAGGGGCCCGATCGAGAGGGAAAACGCGAGCAGCCCCCGCCGGTCCCGCCCTGCGCGCCTGCTGCTCCGAGCCCGGGGCCCCACCCCATGAGCGCAGTGACCCTGTCCGCCAGCCCCGGGCCTGAGCTGGCAAGCGGTGTGACTGGACATCCTCGCGGGGCCAATGTTCAGCCCACCCTCCCTCGAGCAAGCCACCCCCAGCGTGATGTGCCCACGTGATGGCCGAACATTGTGATCAGGCCGCCGTCTGACATACGGTGCGGCGGTGCGCCTGGCGGCCTGATTGTGCGACTGCGGGACAGTGGGCCTTCCGTGGTCGAACCCGTCGCTGCGCTCAGGTCGCAGGGCGCGTTATTAATTATCGCGGTGCGTCACAGGGCCGGGGAAGGAGCGGCGAGGGCTGGCGCCGGCGAGCGGGAGGTGCACGGCGCGGGCTGCCGTGAGGCCCCGCGGCGTGGAAGGGCCGTCAGGAGGATTCGGGCACGCATTGCGCGTGCTGATTGCGCCCAATAAAGCCCAACAGGCCCGCCAGTCAAGAGACGGGGAGCGGAGAGCGGGGGCGCGGAGGTGGGTGAGTCAAAGCTCGCTTCAACGGGCTCTGAGCGGACGGCAAAACCTCGGAGAGGCTTTGACGACTCTCGTTGTTTGAGGCGGCGTCTGAGAACTTGAGAGGGCGTCTGATACTGCGTGCGGCCGTCCCTGAACCCCGTTCGGGCCGCTCGGTTCTCCGCGGGCGTTCCTGCTCTTAATGTAGCGTCTGTGCGCGCCCATCGGTGCGGGGGTTCCGGGAAACCACCATCGTCGGAACGCTGTTCCGCAGTACCGGCGTCGGTACCTCTGGTTTCGCGTGGTGGCGCCGGAGGAGGCGTGTACTGCCGGCCGCATGGGCGCTTGCCGGCCGACCGTTGGAGATCGGCAGCTTTCTCGGGGCAGATTCGTTAAGCCGACGGTGTCCGTGGACGAATCACTCGGTGCGGAGGCTTAGCGGGTCCATCTAGAGCATTTGTGCTCGGCGACACGTTGCGCCTGTCGTCCTTGGCCAGATGCAAGGGCACTGCTTTGTCTTGTCAAAGGCGATTGTAAGGGAGTGCGGCTACCAGTCGCGCGGGGATCTGTATGACGTTTGTAGCGGCGACGGTACATTTTCGTCTCGGACTTTATCTCAGGATTGGGTCTCAAGATGACGCCGGTGCCCTGCAGGCATCGTGCTGGAGCACGCCCGCCTTGCAAGTAAAATTGAATTTCGAGGCTACATGATACTTTCTTCTCTTGAGGTTGGCAGAGAGCGCCCGATGCTTCTTTCGCAGGCTCGAAAGTAGTGTGAGGGTTTGCGAGATGGGACTCGAGTGGGCCTGGCCTTACGCCCGATAGCTGCTGTATGGGCAACGCTGTGTGCAGGCTGCCCTGCCTTTGGCGTGTGACAGGACATTCGAACATGGCTGCAAGAGCGCCCCCAGATTTCGCAGTTCTTTCTCTGCTTTTTTTGGTCCCTTGCTTGCTGTCGGGTGAAGGGTTGCTTGGGCTGTTTTGGTGGCCACACCATCGCTGTTGGGAAATTCCTTCCCTCCCCATGCTTGCATTATTGGATTCTGAACAACGTAGCAGAATTCCTGTTCCGTGCCAGGCAAATCAGCCGTACATAGCATTTAGACAATACAAACATTTTGTGCTTAACAAAGAAGGTCAAATTGTGTACTTGCCTGATTTGTGCATCCCCATGTTCTGCCTGGGAAGCAAAGTTCTCGATAAATGGCTGCCGTGCATATGGGTGGCGTATGCGTTCCTCAATGTGTGTATTCTGTGTTTTTGGTTGTGCAGGCCTGATTGGAGCCAGTTGTTATTTGGGACAGGGCTTGTGGGGTAGTGCCAATAAATGTTGATAGTTAGAACACAGAGATGGTCTCAACTGATACGAATGCTGGAATGGCTGATGTAAATATAGCTAATAGGGTTGCCACCAGAATGGAACAGCGACTGCAGAGTGGCTCTCGCATCGCCCGGCCAGGGGGCCAATCAAGTTTTGGGTACTCAGGGGGTGGGGGTTCGCAGCAACAGTCCACGGGCGAGAGAAAGACCCTGTCTTTCCAAGTAAGAAATAGATTGCCTACAACCCCCAGGACCGAGGCTCAACGAAGTAACACTCCAGAGCCCAGGCAGTCACCAAGGCAACGAGTGGTTTCCAGCCCCCCAGTCAGAAACCACTCCATGGCTGCCGGGAGAATTGTCGACCCTTTGCCAACGATGCTCG